CCCGGAAAACAAATGCTGTAGTCCAAACGAGCCGTTCGTTGTAGTTCTTGAAAAGGGATTTTTTAAAAACTAAATATCTCCCTTTGGAGTGGACTTTGAGATTTGTAACTTTCTAGATCTTTTGTATGCCCAAACATACACACTACACACTGACTAAAATTAAAAAAGTGAAAAAGCATAATAGGACCCCTTTAAGGTAGAGTTTGTGCAGGATTTATTAAAGGGATAGTTCACAAAAAAAATAAAAAAAATAATTCTCAAAATTACTTATGTCATGTATGACTTACATAATAGGACCCCTTTAAGGTAGAGTTTGTGCAGGATTTATTAAAGGGATAGTTCACAAAAAAAATAAAATAAATAATTCTCAAAATTACTTATGTCATGTATGACTTACTTTCTTCTGTGGAACACAAAGAAGATATTTTGCAGATGTTTCAGCTGTTTCTGTCCATACAATATTACAGAAGTCAGTGGGGTCCAAAACTTTCAAGATCTAAAAAGGATCACAATCACTTTGTATGATGAACAGATTGATCTTTTATTCACTCTTGAATCAAATCAAAATATTGATTAACATTCATATACAGATGACACAGACGACATCAAATATGGTGACAAATTTCAAACATCGGTGATTTTCGGACAAGTGACTTGATGTTAGTTGACGCTTAAGGTTCCTATTTGATGTAGTTTCTGTACACTTATGTTAATCATTGTTTTGATTTGATTTGAGAGTGAATAAATACTTACATTTTAGTATTTTAATCACACAAAGAGATTGTATCACTTCAGAAGACCAGTCAAATAGATTAATTTTGTTACCTTTGTGTCCTTTTTGGAGCCTGAAAGTTTTGGACCCCAATGACTTTCATAATACAGACAAAAACAGCTGAAGCGTTTTTCAAAATGTTTCTTAATAGAACGTTTCAAACAACATGAGGCTAATAAAATGATTTTCATTTTTGGGTGAACTATTCCTTTAATGCAGAGTTTGTGGCAGAATTTGAATCACAGTTATATTGTGGTAGATTGGCATGACTGTGAGTCATGTGCCTTATTGACTTATTCTGTCTGGAGTCCCAGATTTGTCTTCTCAGGATTCCCTCTCCAAACTGCTTTAATTTCAGCATCTATTTCTCTGCTTCTCTCTTCATCTCTGCCTCCATCAGCTGTGCTCATTAGTTAGTCAAACAGCTGCTTCCCATTGTAGTGTGATTCCAATGCTCTCTGATTCAGTGAGCGTGATGTTGATGGGGACGTGTGTTTCTTAATGGGCTGCTGTTCACAGATGAGGCTGGAAACCACTGAGGGCTTGGTGAGGAATGAGGAAATGGGGGCCAGTCAACTGGCTGAGAGTCCAACAATCTATTTATGCCAACACTCTGCATTTAACTGCCAATCGCTTGAACTGTGCATATCAGAAGACTCAATATCCAGCCATTTCTTTGTAGCAAAACACCTCTCTCTCCTTGATTTCTTTTTATGATTAAATTTCTCTCCCTCACCTTACATATGGAAAAGAACATGAAATTATATTACGTGTTGGATACTGCAACTGGTTGACCAGCTTCATCAGCCAAGTTAACAGGGTTGAGTTCCACCAAACAGACCAGCACAAAACCACCACTAGCCAGCATAATCCTGTCTGAACCAGCATGGAAATTCATGCTGATCTAATATAGTCTTTTTAGCAGGGCTTCCAATTCCCCATCTCTTTCCTTGTTTATCTTTTACTTCACAACAGGTCAGTAAGTGGTCAGTTGGATTTAATAGGGCTTAATAGAGTCTTTTGTGTTCCTGAAAGAAATGTATGACACAGACTTCGAAAGACATTCTGTCATCATCATTTACTCACATGTGGAGTCTGAATTTTCATTTTTCTGCTCCTTTAAACAGGGTCTCAATGTGAATCTGGGGCTTTTAGTAAAGCCCTGTGCATTGTGTGTTCCATTTCCTAATTTAGGAGGTACTTTACCTTTTTTCCAGTTGTTCTTTGCCTGGTCTTAGTCTAATGAGCACGATTAGGAAAAAAATCAAAACATCCTAACAGCTTAGCAGAATGAATCCAATTTCACAGCAGTATTTAGGACGCGTTCCTCTTTTAGGCGGTTGCTTGCATCATGTACTTTCACAAACTTTCTCTAATGGGGAAAAGTATTTTGTAATGTTTGGGATTCATGTTTAATGACTGCGTAATATGTACGAAACATTACTTGGTTTAGGATTAGCGCATGTCATTTAGTAGGTTATTGTGCATGTAAGAGACTAATGTCACCTTCTCCATAAGCTGACGGAGCTGTCTGCTGCGTGGGTCTCGATTACACATGTTCTGTGCTGGAGCCACAACTGTGCAGATACATTTCCCATCTGCATCCTGTGCCGAGCTGTAGATCTGCCAGCCCTCCTCTGGGCTCGGATACAGGGCCTGCATAGAGAAAGAGATAGAGAGATGAAAAAAAAGAGATAGCGAAAGATGCATGGAGAGACAGAGCAATATGCATGAGCAGAATAGAATGTGGCATCTGTGAGAGGAGGACGTTTTGATCAGCTTAGACACTTGGAGGAAATAGAGCTGCTTTGGATCGATAAAGCTGCTTTTTCATGGGGGGTGGAGTCAGGAGATGGATGTCTTGAAACAATGTACAGGCTCAAATGCGCGCGCGCACACACACACACACACACACACACAGAGATGTTTGCTTTTTTATCATAGTGGGGATTTTCCATTGACTTCTACTGTTTTTATACTGAGATCATAATGGTTTCTACCCATACTACAGAACTAAATCTCACACAAACCTTTCTGCTTTTTCATTAATGGAATAGTAAAAAGTTAAACTCAGTCCACAACATTTGTGGCATAATATTGAATATTAACCTTTCATTCTTTTCTTTAAAAAAAAGCAAACAGAGGTGATAGTGAGGTATTTAATGGAAGTGAATGGGGCCAATTTTGACATAAAACAGAAATGTGAGGCTTATATTTTTATTAAGGCACTTACATTAATTCTTCTGTTAAAAATGCGTATTAATTTAGCTGTAAAGCTGTTTAAATCATTTTTATAGTTGGGTTTATGGTTTCGGCTTGGCAACAAGGTTGTAAATTTGGATATACACAATTAGAAATTGTTTATCTCATGTGGCTGTATTATTGAAACGGTGAATATTTGATTTTATGCTGACTGACCCCATTTACTTCCATTTTACATTAAGTGCCTCACTGTAGCCCAGGAAGGACAAGTGGAAATTAATGGTTGTGGTAATCAATATTGACACAAATGCTTTTGATTAAGCTTAACTTGTAGAGAACACAATTTGCTATGTTTAAGAAGCTGGTGATTTCAAGTTTTGCTAGGGCTGCACAATGGATCACATTTCAATTGTGATCATGATTTCTGCTTCTCTCTTGATTTATTAAGCAAAATCATCTGCAATATTTGCCTGCTGGCTATTTATCCTGAAAATTCTATTTTAATTTGGCATTTATGTTATCTTGCATTGGTAACAAGCCTCCACAAACTTTCTTGGTTGCGGTTGCCAGATTTCCAACTTTTACCCCAAATCAGAGCTTTCTGCATCATTTTCTGCTTTGTTTACTAAATCTTCCCAACCTGGCAACCATGCTCACTCTGCTTTACAGAAAATGCCCTGATGAGCTAAAAACACTGGCAAACAATTTGGAGATTAGCAATCTCTATTGAGATATTCTGCTCAAATAAAAGTGCAATACAGCCAGTCTGTTTTCTTTCACGTGGTTGTTTGCACTGTTTGCTGTAAATAAATCTGCGAGCAAACCATGCAAGTTGACATTCTCTTGATTTGTGCTTATGTGAAAGTGCAATAAATCTGATGAAATGTGAAAAAAATAAATGACAATAATTATGATTATATTTAATTGTGATTAACTGTTTAACCATTATTGATCAGCCCTAGATTTTGCTATCCTTAAAGACTAAAAGAAGAATAAAGCCAGATTGAAAAAGAACAACTGATGGTGTCATTAAAGATAGATAGCATTTACAAGAAAAAGGAGTGGCAATAAAATATTTCCTCCTGCTCTAACCTTCCCATTTTCATTGTCTCTTACCCTCTTCTGTGTTTTTCACTCTCACGCTTCACTCTCTCTCCCCCCACACTTCCCCGATCAGATTAAATGACCGAGTAGACAGAGAGACTATGTGATTGGAGAGTAAAGCAGCAGCCACCCCATGAGCTCACTGTCACATCCCGTCACTCCTGCCAATCCCTGCCACTCTCTGTTCTCTCTCTGTCTCCTTCACTTTTTCACTCCCTCAACATCGCTCCTTTTCTTCCACAGTCTGTCCTCTTCTCACCTTCCTATCGTTCTCATCTGTTCCTTTTTCCTGTGTCTTCAGCTCTGTTCGTCCCTGAGCAATCTCTCACTCTCTCGCTCACTCAATTTAATTCAAATTACGGCAATTCAATTCAATAATGCTTTATTAGCCTGCCAGGCAAATGTAATTTCACAAACTCAAAAGGAATTGATTTGTAAATTTAGGTGCAGAGGCAATAAAAAATACAGGTTTCACAAATACAAATGATCACAATGAATGTTATTAATTTATTTGTATATCTCTTTTCACAATAAACATTGTTTCAAAGCAGCTTTACAAAAATCATACTGTTATGTCTACAGTGACTTGCATTGTTTTTCATTTTGATAGAACAATTTATGGCTCTATGAATGATGACATGCTCATGTTTCATAAATATGTGAAAATGTGAAAAAAAAAACATTTTTCTATTTGATAATTCACATATTTTGCTGACATTTATGCTGTAGTGCAATTTTATCATTTGATGAGTTTCTCTGATGAGTTTCTCTGTAAGCATCACAGAGATTTTGTTTGAGGAAAAATAACTTTAAGTGATTTTTATTTTGGGAAACAGCAAAGCCATGTTTTATCCTCTGCTTGTCTCTAATGGAAGCGTCTCCATGTGCTATACTCCCTTGAAAAACAACTCTGATTACATCAAGCCTTCTCGATTTCTGCGTTTTGGCTGTCAGTTGTGTTTCCTTCGACTTAAATTCTTTACTAGACAAGTAACGTGCAAATTTTCGATCCCTTTGAAGGACTGTATTCATTCGTTGTGGAGCTGCAATTTATTTGAACCATCTAATGGCGCTTATCTTTTCAATTTTATTGGTTTGTTGAATATTGAGATGCAGGCAAAAAATTGATTGTTGTTTTGATTAATTCTGGCTTAAGAACATTTCTCTCTCTGTATCTGTTTCTCCAATTTGTTCTCCATCCCTGTCTCTCCCCTTGAGCACATTTTCATTTAGGTAGCATGGGCTCCCTATTTTCAGTAACAACCTACCTTTCTCTCTCTCTCTCTCTCTCAAAAGAAACAAAACAATAGAAACAAACAAAACACAAAAACACGACAAAATGACATTAAAGATCAAAGGTCTAAAAATACACCAAACTGTTTTTTTGACCCAGTAGATTACAACACATAAAGTCTCCCATCTCATTCCGGAGAAGGTGCTTGCAAAGCCTGAAGGCATGAGAGACAGACACACATACGAGTGCTAACGCTCAACACACACACACACACACACACACACACACACACGCTTCTTGGTGGTTCAGATTCAGATTTGATAAGGCTGGTCTAGCTCAAAGTCATTAGCCTCATTCCTTCTGTTCATCTAACCTCTTGCTTGTATAGTTCATGCTGATTTGCATAAGAATGCCACATACTGTTATAAATGGCCTCTCTGGCCACTGTGCCATTTTCCTGTCCAGTCTGGCATTCAGCGGCTGTCAAATCTAGCAGGGTCCTCAGTTCCATTAGCAGTGATTTTCTGTGCTTCGTGTCACTATCATCAAACACGCATTAAGCAATGTTTAGCAGGTGTAACATCCTCACAGGAGTATATAACGGATGCTAACGCTCAACACACACACACACACACACACACACACACACACACGCTTCTTGGTGGTTCAGATTCAGATTTGATAAGGCTGGTCTAGCTCAAAGTCATTAGCCTCATTCCTTCTGTTCATCTAACCTCTTGCTTGTATAGTTCATGCTGATTTGCATAAGAATGCCACATACTGTTATAAATGGCCTCTCTGGCCACTGTGCCATTTTCCTGTCCAGTCTGGCATTCAGCGGCTGTCAAATCTAGCAGGGTCCTCAGTTCCATTAGCAGTGATTTTCTGTGCTTCGTGTCACTATCATCAAACACTCGCTGAAACTGCACTGCCATCCTGGATGGAATTTTCCCAGGTGAGCTGATACAGAAATCTAGCCTTCTCCACGAGATGAACACGGACAGGTCTGCCGGTTCGTCTCTGAAATGCCGTTCTCTGGCAGTCCGCTCCATTGACCTCTCGTAGCCGATGTGAGACTAGCCCAAACGTGTTTCGCCCTGGCCTGAAAGAATGCGGTCTTCAATTCCTGGTCGAGTGTATTACCACCCTAACATTTCATCATCAGTCTCATTCCCGTCCCGACAGACCTTCGGCTTAGTGTCTGAGCACGTCAGATACGGTTAGCGCCGAGCTCCTGCTCAATCTATACGCCAATCTGCCACCCGCAGCCCCTCAAGCGGATAAAACTGTCGCATCAATCATCGGTGCGGTACATGCACCTCACATGTTTAAACATCGGCGCGGCATGTGTGCCCATCCGATGGGTGGAACATATGAGCCAGGAGGCCAATGGGGAGCTGCGCTTTCGCATAAATATGCTTTCTGTTCATTAATGTTGCATAAATGTTGAGTTTTAATTTAAGAACTGATTAGAATCACCCCTGGACTCATTACCACCCACCAATTCATTCTGCTGTAATTTCCTCTCATCTACTCCTAATGGCAGAGTAGAGAACGGGGGGCACACAAAAACACACACCCCAAATCACGCACAGATGTGTGTAGCATCTCCCCTTTTTCAGATCTTCCCATCCTTTCCAGCATCTGTACTGCATGTGAGTGCATGTTACAGAATAGGCCAGTTATTTATGAACAAACAGGTCAGATGAAATGAGCCACGGTTTAATTAGTAATGGTTGAGCTGTCATCCGTAAACGCCAGGGTGAGTGTATCCGCATGAGTCTGTTTTTTGTTTTTTTTACTTCTCATTTGCATTTAACAGCCTGCAAACGATCAGTAGTGTGCAGTCTGTTTGCTGGCATTTACGAAGACAAGTGAGTAAATTAAGTTGCTGATCATATGTTGCGTATCCTAATCGGGAGCAACACGATAAGGCAGAAAGCAAGAAATGGTTCGTCTTCTATGTTCATTTTAGTTGTTGTCCTAACCTGCCGTGGTCATTGTAAGTGATGAGCAAGACATTTTGTCAGCTACTTGGTTTCTGCCGCTCTGACCAGGGTAAACCCTGTCTGCCGTGAAATCACATTGGTCCAAAATCCCTCTACACATCACTGGA